AATGTAATCAGCTTCAGGCTCCTCTGCTACTGGACCTGGCTGAAAGCTAGAACAGCAGTCTCCTGGTTTTGTAATTATAAGATAAATTAATTTTGACCTTTAAAAATATGCAAGCTTTAGAGATGTGGCCTTTGTTTTTAACAAAGCAACAGACAAAGAATCATATGTGAGACTGCATGTATGTGCACAATAAGAGCTTGAATCACTGACAAAAATCATACAGTACACAGCAATACAATTTGGGGCAAACTTTCAGGCAGGCTGGAAACTAGCCTCCCATTGCAGATGAAATGCAGGTGCAAATCTCAATAGTTACATATCCAACTACTTGATTAGCACCTGCAATCTGGTATTTAGAAATGTATTCTTTAGAAATGGCTCCTGCAATGAATCATAAGTGCAATAAAATGCACCCATTTTTTTCCAAATGCACCCTCAAAATGCAAGCTGGACCACTGAAAATATATACCTGTGGGTCTAACAATAAACAGAAGTGGGTCAGTTGTCACCTTCACTAACCAAATGGTTGGTGAAACACTTCCTGATGTTACAAATGACATGTACAGTAGGCATTGTTGTGCAATGAACCTTAAGTCACACAAAAAATAAATATTCTTTGAAACTGGATGTGCATGAATGACACTACAGTATTAACCAATCAAAATTATCCCGCTTTGAGTTAATATTGTCTCATATTAGTGAATTATAAGTACTAATATTAAATCCTGCATTCTGACTGGTCAGCAACCATGGCAATATCCTCACACAATATAATAAGTAAATAAAACAAGTTCCAACCTAACTGTATCTAATATTGTCAGGACACTCTCTCCTCCTCCCAGCTGCTGACGATCCAAAACACAGAATTTAATGATATTTTAATAGAGTTTCTAAGTATAATCTTTGCAATTAAAACAAATGTCCAATCTGGGATCAAACCTAATTAAGTAAGTCAATGGGAAAAATCCTATTTACTTTAGGATCAGGCTTTTGGATTCTTTTCTTCTTCTGCTTTTGTCGTTATTTTGTCAATTTTATTTAAAAAAAAAGTTAATTTCCTTTTTCCAGGTTTCCTTGCTTTTTGTGGGCAAAAAAGTAGCCTTGCATCCCTTTCTTGCTTCTCCTCCTCAGTATAGTCCCACCTTCCCCCTCCTCCTCTTGGGAGGTTCTAACTTTACAGCTCAGCTTTGAGGAATCGGGTCCCAGTCCTTCAAGCTGATGCACACAGGCAGCTTCCTGTCCCCATGCAGAGCCCCACTGATTTCAATGGGGCTCCCCCATGTGGACAGACTCCCACACGTGTGCAAACAGCTTGCAGGATCAGGGCCCTAGTGCAGTGCTTCTCTCCCACCTCCAGCTGCAAAGGAAAATCTGCTGGAAGCCACCTGGTGATACTGCACCAGATGGCAACTTCTCTTGAAAACTACATTTTAGTATTGCTTGGCAGGCATTTCACACATCTCCAAGCAGCACTTCGATCATCCTGGTTCGCGGGGGCTGGGGATTTCCATGTACTTTGATCAAATGTTAAATGAAAAGGATTTTACAACTTCCAAATTTGGCTGCCATTTAAAAGTCATACAAGCGTCCCAGGGAATGTGAGAAAAACGGAAGATGGGAGAAGCAAGAAAAGGCATGTGAGCTTGCAGAGCATGTTCTGTCAAGTAGTAAAGAATCTGAAGAAAAGAAACAGTATTAATAAATCAACAGATTTTAAAATTTAATTTGCATTTTCTTTTTAATTGTTTTAACTATTTTAAATACCTTTTCCTTAAACAATTATTTAATAAATCCTTTCCTTTTCCCCTCTTCCTTCCTCTATTTACATGGAACCCTTTAATAATCGGAGTAAGATTTCAGAGTGTGTATCATGCTGGGATATCCCTACTGAGTGGTTGCAGAACTCAATTTTGGCCTTTTTCCTAACAACCCATGAGGTGAAATAACACCCCAGCAAGACACATGCATGAAGCGTCTCATCTCTTTAATTCTACATACTAATGTGATGCAGAAGTGCCTGCATTTTATATAATCTTCCTCATATTAAAAAAACAAAATCCTATCATATTAAAAATACAGTATCCTTAGCACTGGGACAACACCAAAGGCAGATACAGATAAAAGATCTGCTATGCTTTAAATAATACAAATAATTAATAATAATAAAGATGTGACATCTTGTCTTTTTTCATAGGTTCAGTCCAGAACACACACAACCAAAAAAAAAAAAACCTCTGCTAGCTGCTGGAGCAAGACTGCCCTCTAGTAGCAAAGTTTCTCTAGCCATATGCTCCCTCTTTTGGGAAAATATTATATTTGCAATTTTAAATCTGCAAGCACTAGTCAGATACATGACTTTGTAAGGTGCACTGCCCCATAGTGCTAATACATATTATAGCATCCTCTCATGGTCTCTATTTAGCAAATATGGAGGTAGATCTATAGACAGGCTATATAAAGAAAATGTATCAAGGATGGGATAGCAAATAATACCGTATATATTGTCATGCTATCATAGAGACCTATGGTGCCTCACCTGGAATACTGTGTTTGTTTGTGGTCAACCTCTTTCAAAAAGAGAAATACAGCAGAAATTGAAGAGGTCCACACACAGGTAACAAAAATTAGAATTATGGTAAAACTTCTGTGTGTAGGAAGATTGTAAAGATTAGGACTGTTCACTTCAGAGAAGAAAGGGCATAAGAGTAGTAAATTAAATATCAAATAGTATGGAGAAAGTAAACCTCAGATTCTATAAACCGTTTTTCATAACACGGGAACATGTGGACATTTAACTAGGCTGGAAGTCAGCAAGTTTAAAACTGATAAAAAGAAATAGTTTAAAAACCTAATTAACTTGTGGAACTCTGTCATCATGGAGAAGATAATGAGAACATCTACTGATTAATGAGTTACATTTAGATAGAATTAAAAATCGTGTAAACTAGGGATAAAAAACCACTAACTGCCTTTGAGTTGGAAAAACATATTCCCTTTGGGTAAACTATTACGTAAATAGACAAACATAAGGTTTTTACCTTCCTATGAAGCATCTGATTGTGGCAACAGTTGGAGACAAAAAACTAGATTAGATGGAATATTAGTGTGATCTGGCACGATACTTCCTATGCTCCATGAACATCAAAACAGTATATTATGCAGGAAGACAAAAACAGATGCAACAGTTAACTGTACATGTATCAAATTAGTACTATACTGCAGGATATTAGCATGGTCTTCACTTGTTTTAAAATGAAATACCAAATGAGGTACACACGTGCAATTACTGTGACTGTGTGTACAAGTCATGCATTGCATGTTTACATGGCTATTATAATCATTTGTGCATGCAAATACTGAATAGATTTGCTCAATCTCAGTGTTTGTTTGAATTAGTTCAATGCATAACTGAATGACTATTTTGCCTATGCAATTGAAAGTTTAACTTGTCAGGACCTCAACAAAATCTGTAGAGGAGCTTGAGTAACATTTTTAAAAAGAGCCTTATTACTATTTGATGTCATCACTCTCTGCTGTCCTGATGTCTTGAACAATTTCAAACTCACTCTGATCAAATAAAAAGATTCCTCTGTCCCAGTTTTCTTGGTTTTGGTTTTGATGTTTAAGACCTTCCCGCACCACCTTTTACCTGTTCATACCCTCAGGGCAGAGACTGTCTTCTACTTGTTTGTACATACGTTTCTGTAATTGAGAAGTTCCACATATATTTATGGTGCCTTTAAAATAATAATCCTAGTTTGTGAAAGACTGAGTGAGAAATGAAGCTGAAAACATCATGGGGAAGATTGCTGATCTGACAGGCAAACACAAGCACCTAAATGGCACCAACGCATGCATTCTGTTATCAACACATCACATTTCAGTGTCGTATAGTGTCTGCCTACACATACCACATACAGTATATTCTACAATGGCTAAGGCTACGATTATGCACCAGGGCTGGAGCTGTCAGCAGGCAGCCCAGCAGCTCCTAGGCACTGGGCAGCAGAAGGATCCCGGAGCTCCCTGAGGGTCCCCCAGAGTTCCCACTCACCACTTGGCTCCCTGCAGCAGCCCAGCCGCGGCGGGGGATCCCGCAGTATTTCAGCCGTGGCGGTGCACCCCCCACAGCATTTCAGCCACGGCGGGTAGGGAGGAGACCCCAAAGCCCACAGCCGCTGTGGCTGCTGGACCTTCCTCCTCTCCATTTTGTCAAGGATATTTTTTAGTAAAAATCACAGCTAGGTCATGGGCGTCTGTGAATTTTTGTTTATTGCCTGTGACCTGTCCATGATTTTTACTAAAAATATCCATGACAAAATCTGAGCCTTAACAATGGCCAATCTCCCACTGATTGCAAGAAACCCTCTATTTGACTATTTATGTCAAAATCTGCCCACAGGAGAAATTTCTTCCATACCCAAGGCTCTCAATGATTAGCTTATATCATGAAGTACATATATCCTTTTAACTCCTATTTATATATAAATAGAGAGACTATTTCTTTTATGAATCCTACTAAGCTCTCTCAATAATATCTTGTGGCAGTGAATGCCACTTGTTAAATATGTATTATAGTAAAAAAGTATTTCCTTTTATCTGTGTTAAATATGTTGCCTTTAAGTTTTGGTTACGTTCTCTTGGGCTTGTGTTATGAGAAAGGATCGACAGGTCCACCCAATGGACCTTCTCTAGATCCTTCATTATTTTATATACCTCTAGCATGTCCCCTATAATTTTTTGTCTCCTCTCTAAATTAGAAAGCCCTCTAAGTGAGAAACATTTTGCAGCAAGTGAAATTCAAAATCCAAAAGTGGAGCTAAGTAAAATGAGCGAAGCTTTCTTTGATAGAGCAGAGCCAATTAGGCCACAGAGGGGTAACAAGAAAATCTGCAACACTTAGCAAGAATTCTTGGGATTTTCCATTGGTCTTACACCACTGCCTACTTATGTTAGTTTGTATTTCTATTCTGACAGCAAGATGAGTGGAGGTTACTTACTGAGTTTTCTTTCAGTTGTAGTCCTTCTCCATTTGGCAATGAGGATCTTCGTTTGGTGGACGTGTTTTTGTTTGGTGTGGAATTGGTGCCTCCAGTTTTTTTCTTTACAAAAAGCACTTCACAACTTGCTTGGTCTTCATTGTGTGTGCTCTTCCCTGCATTTATTACCCTAGAAAAAACAAAAGGCATGTTAGTTTTAGCAAACCTCAGAAGCTTCTATCACTGTTTGCTAAGTGACTTACCAAAAATCAAAGGAATGTGGCCAGAAGGTTTCTAAATACTCATAAGCTTAAAGTTTGACCTTTGACATTTATGAGCACAAGATTTCTTTATGAGATTTTTCATAAACAAGCAAGCATTTGGAGCAGTACAAATTGAAAAATGTAAATGAGCATTTCCAGACAACTACATGAGCATTAATTAACTGAATATTTCTACGACTTATCCATACAAGGAAAACAATTTTAAACCAAAATTATACTGGACAGATGCCTAATGAATGGATGAGTCTGGTAATGTTTGTACTTCCCAGCTAAAATACAAAAAAGAGATTTATAATTGCTCTTTCAGTTTAATTCATATACCTACTATCACCCTCTAATAGCTATGGTTCATAATGGATAGATCAGCTCCAGGAATCTACTCTGTCCAGTTCCTCTGAGTGGTACAAGCGGAACATATCTACCAAATAGAATGCTCTCCATACTGATGGCACAGAATGGAAGGAAGTGACAATTATAAAGCACTTACTCTTAAATTTAAAAAAATAAAGAAACAGTAGGAGAGATGGTATGTGGGATGCAAACTTCAAAAGGGGTGCTCCTGTTTCTTGCTTTGACAGGCTGGCAGAGGTTACTTATACTATGATGAAGTGAAAGGGGCGCATTTTACAGCTCTCTCTTTCCAAATTCATTTCTCTAGGCACAAAGTTTGTAATGCCGTGCGCATTTGGGACATGGTGTTGTATTGTTGCATCAATATGTGTCACTGCATGATAGAACATTGTTTTTCAGAGGCAACATTATCACATTTGTGTCAACAGCCCAAGTAAATGCAGAATTCTCATAGTTCTGCGTGCCAAGCCTGTAAAACCTGGGGCAGACTCATGAAAACAGGGCAGTTCTATGAATTTCAAGATAGACGATAATCTCAACACCCATTAGTCCGCAAACAGAAAGTACAGGTCATAATATTTGCTAACAGTATCTCTATCAGACACTTTATGAAACAAAATGATAGATACTCTGAAGTACGAATTCCATAAAAAAGAGCTTTAAAACCATGAGCATAAGTACACCTCTACCCCGATATAACGCGACCCGATATAACACAAATTCTGATATAACGCGGTAAAGCAGTGCTCCGGGGGGGGAGGGGTGGGGGCTGCGCACTCCGGCAGATCAAAGCAAGTTCAATATAACGCGGTTTCACCTATAATGCGGTAAGATTTTTTGGCTCCCGAGGACAGCGTTATATCGAGGTAGAGGTGTATTTGATTCGAGTATTTCAGAACTTGGACGTCAGTTAACTAAAACAAATGAACAAGCTCAAACCAACCTTAGATGCAGATTAATTATGCATTGTTTCAATGTGTGTGTTTGTACTATGTATGTTCAACAGTCCTGGAAGGTGAGTGTGTACTGACCCGGAAGTACAATAGCCTCAGATGTGTGAGGAACCCTGTACAACATGGGATTATGTCCCGTTACAACAATATAACGTTATTTCCCTTTTGATTAAATGATTGATTGTCTTCTTCCAAGAACACATTTTTTAACCCATCCCACCCTTTCTCCAAACCGTTAAGTCTCCTTGACAAATCATTGTGTGGAGGGAGTTTTGGGCCAGATGGGGCTTTTATTTATTTAAATACATTGCACACTCCTGATAACCATGTGAAAGTACATGAACAATCTGGAGGCATCTCACAACCCATTTAATAAAATCAAACACACCTGATTCCTCGGTCGCTGATATTTTTACCACAATTTGTATACCACATTTTATACTCTTTGAAAATCCTTAATCCAAATTGTGGTGGGGTTTTTTTAAATGGGGAGGGAGAAGGAGAACCACACACACACACACACACAAAAAGACCAACAGTCCACTCTGGGCATCATTTTACCTATTCTTACCAGATTAGAAAAATTCCAAATTTCATGACACCCCATTTTAAGATAAAAATATCTTTTTCTTTATTGTATATAAATGAATATTTTTTTTCTTTTAGTAAAAGCAACTCAGTTGTACCCTGGAAAAAAGACACAGCCACTAACCATAACCATACTTGTGAATGAACAGATCATTGAACACCACCAAATGTTACTATGCTGCAATCTGACATACAAGAATTTGAACGCAGTTAACATCTGTATGCATATTACCACCAGCTGTTTGCAAGGGTTTGTTGTACATAAATATCAACTGTGGATGAAACCATTTTGAGACACTTGCAAGTAAGGGATTAAAGGATGTGTAGTTTCAAGCTATCTTTCAGCAGTTTTGCAACTCTGATTAACTCTTATGCCCAATATTTGCCAAGATGGAGTTTAGATATTTGGGTATAATGGGTTTCTGGTCTGAAGGCACATCATTTTCTGGATGCATTTGGAAGGCTGCGGTGTGATTTGAAACAGAAGACGTGAAAGTACAAAGACATCAGGGTAAATAAGCCAGTGGATATTAACTCCCTGACTGCCAATGTGACCAATTAGCTAAAAGCATCACTGAGCAACAGAAAGCCTAACTAAAGTACTGTATTATGGCTTCTAAATATCTTCCTGTAGCTTAGCCCATCACTTTCTCCTCAGCGTGGCTTGAAATGGTTTTCAAGCACCATTTAAGTCATGAACTTAAAAAGCTAAAGGAAAAGAAACATTAAAGCAGCAAAGCTGAGCACATAGGGTGTTCTTTACTGTGAGTCAATACTATTAGCTGCACCTGTTCTGCATAGATCCCAGAACTGTCCTAACTCTGTACTTAATGCTAGACTAAGAACTACTATTGAGAGAGACATTGTGCCCTTCGGGGCTTGTTAGGTCACACACACACACACTATTTATAAAGCTGCTTTATCAAGCAAACCTCTCAAGGAACTGAATGGTTCCAAAAGGCTGAAAGAACAAAGTGACCCAATAGTAAGTAACCTGGTTTGGCAAGGCAATTACCATTAAACATCTGAAGCTTTGTACTTCACTAGTCAGATGTGCCCATGCGTGGAACTAGTTGGTAGAAAGGAACATGAACAAAGGAACTTGGGACACGTTCAAATTACGGCTTAGGAGGTCCCTGAAAGCTATGGTCTGGCCATCTAACTCTTCTGTGAAGGATTTCAATGCCTCTTTAGCCTTTGTCTGATTAACTCCACTCTGTCGTCTCTGAACAGGTTCTCTTATTCTGGAAATTCCGATGGGAACTTGAAATATCACAATGTAGCAGTTCTTTCCATTCAGTGCCTAGAAGCTGCAGCATTTGATGCCAGCAAAGGCATCAAATGCTGCAGCTTCTAGGCACTGAATGTGGCTCTAACCTGATGCTGGACCATCCCCGTTCCCTCACACAAAAAGGCCTTCAACTTCTGCCACTTTTGGGAAAGGGATTCAGTGAAGGTCCAGGCTTCCCCGTCCTCCCCCAAAGCTTGGGGTGCATTTGGAGCATATATTGTTGGTAATACCAACTTTTGATGCTCAGCACAGAAACCGATAACACCTTCTGGACAGCTTCAAGCAGCTCGGGGTGTTTTCTCCTGCTTGAAATCCTTTAAGCAAATTCTTGGCCAAAGAGATGAGCCTTGCACTGCAACATGAAGACAAAAGAAAATTGCTCCTGAATTTGGAATTCGTAAGTATCTGCTGGCTTAGAGTTGAGATGACAAAATATTTTAAAGATAGAAATCAGTGTTTTAAAGTTTTGCTCAATAACTCAAATAACTAGTGTACGCAAAACATTGTCTTTAAAGTATTTAAACAAACTGTACATCACCTTTAAAGACATAGGCTCAGGCTTTCAAAGGAGCCTAAGGGAATTCAATGAAATTCAATGGATTTGGGCACCTAACTCCTTTAGGCCTCTTTCAAAATCCCATCCATATTTATTAAAGATCCAGATCATAACTGGCCCAGAGCTGATGATGCACAAGCAGGTGTAGATGCTACCGATGTGCATGTGCCTCTCCCCTCCGACTCCCAAAGGCAGTCGTGAGTCTGCCTCTCTCCTCCACCATCAGACTATAGAGAATAGTGCTGGTATTTTTTCCCTCCACTTCCCACTCCCACAAAGCTGTGGCTTTAAAACTACAATATCACTCCAAAATGTGGTGGCTTAATTGTATTTTAGAAAGCAGGATACGATCAAAGAGCTTTAAAAAACTCAAAATATTTGTAAAAGTAAACAAAGACTTTATATATTTAAAAGAGAGGAAATCCAACAAGATACATCAGCAAAACATCCAAGTTTCTTGCTTATACACCTCTACCCTGATATAACGCGACCCGATATAACGCGGAAAAGCAGCACTCCCGGGGGGGGGGGGGGCAGGGCTGCACGCTCCGGTGGATCAAAGCAAGTTCGATATAACGCGGTTTCACCTATAACACGGTAAGATTTTTTGGCTTCCGAGGACAGTGTTATATCGAGGTAGAGGTGTACAACCATAGTGCATGAAACAGATAATATAAAGATGTATTGCTAAGTTTCAGAAAAGTTCCTTTCAACCTATTTAGAGCAGAATATGCTTTCTTTTTCCACACTGAAACAGTACAATCTTTCCTTCTGTTACCTGACACAAGTGTTCTATTTGTGTATCTGTGTTTCAAATTTCAGTGTACCTGCATTTTGCTCTATGAACTGGAGAAAGTACAACAAATTTTGTTTTTATAGTGAAAATATGGCTTCTGATATTACTTCTGTCAGAACTGCTGGACTAAGTCCACATTGTGAACTAATTGGAGGCCACTCCACCATATATATAAACCTGCCATGGACAAAACTGTGGGATGCAATTAGGGTGACCAGAGAGCAAGTGTGAAAAATCAGGACAGGGGGCAGGGGGTAATAGGTGTCTATATAAGAAAAAGACCCAAATATCGGGACTGTCCCTATAAAATCGGGACATCTGGTCACCCTAGATGCAATGTACAACAAAGACCCAAAACGAAGGCCACTAAA